AAGAGTGATTGAGCTGGCCCAGAAGAGGGTTCAGGAGTGACCCAGGACAGGGTAGGCCCTCGAGGAAGAAAGATACAGTGCAAAAGAGCACACAGCAAAATTCACAGCATCAACACAGCAAAGCATTTGTTTTTATTCATCCTTCAGAGCAGAAGGCTTGTTCCTAGAGCTTATTTCTGACACTACCAGGGAGCAAACTATATTGGCAGGTGGGAATGGGGAGCTGAGTTTCACGTATCCTAATTATTAAAGGCCTGGATCCAATTCAGGACCTAAACAGATTTGTTAGCCAGCAACTCTGTTGACTTTGTTTATCAGCTAAGGTCTACTTTGATCACAGTTGGAAAATAATATGGGGACACATGGCTCCACATTCTCCCGAGAAAGAAAAGGGAGGTGCAAATGTTCTGCATGTATTTGGAAATCAGTTCACTATTCAGCTGATACAAGCAACATTTGGTAGATACGTGTGTCTCTATCTCCTGAAGAGCACATCAGAAGAAAATGATGAAAGTTTCTCTGCAGTGAGCATCTCATTTCCACAATCCATGAGGTATCTACCCGTTCCATCTCTGTCTGGGTAAAATCAAAACTCTGCCATCTAGCTCGAATCTTTCCGAGAGCTGATTTTCCTTGACTTGGTTTCACTGAGCCTTGTTATGATATATATCTGCTCTAAAACACCCCTTCATTCTCTGAATTAATTTCTGCTCTAGATAACTGTCTTTCATTACCTGTTACTGCACCTAATCTTACTGGTTCAAATCAGCTTTGGTTAGCCTGTGCCTCACTTGTTTTTTCTCACAGAAATTACTTTTTTCACTTGCAGCTCACAAGAGCTGTTATTGATTATGGATATGCATCCAGCTGGTATGAATTTGTAATTATGTAATTAATTAAGGTGTAGGCCCTTCCTACAAAAGGTGGGCCATTTCCTCCTGGCTGTGGGAAATGTACCAATCTGTTGTAGAGCTGTGGCCTATGTTGGTGAGCAACATCTGATGACCCCGATGTGACTGAAGAATCTTTGATAGAATAAAGAGACCCCAACTCCCTCGCCAGAGTGAGAATTCCTTTGCCAAAGAAGGTAAAGCTGCTACTCTGACAGAAAGAGGGAAGTAAGAATTTATGGAGTCAGAATGTTATGGACAGAATGAATAAAATCTTTGAAACTACTTAACTGTGTCTCTGCTCACCCTGAAGTTCTAAAAACTACTAAACAAAAAAGGGGCAATTATGGATATGCATCCAGCTGGTATGAATTTGTAATTATGTAATTAATTAAGGTGTAGGCCCTTCCTACAGAAGGTGGGCCGTTTCCTCCTGGCTGTGGAGTTGCAGCCTATGTTGGTGAGCAACAATTGATCATTCTCAATAATTCACCATCTCCAGATTCTTGTGACTTCATTGCTTAGCATTGGATTATGCAGAAGAGACCTTTTTGTCCTAGGGCTGTCCAGCCTGTTTTGCAAGCTGACTGTAAACTCTTTGGTACCCATATACATTTGGAATGACTTGCTTGTTCTGGAGAGGAACTGACTGACATGTCTGAGTCTGCAGCTCAGTATACATAACCAGAACTAGAGGTGTAGCAAGGGAAGGTGAATCCCTCCGAAGGGTATTTATGCAGCCTTCTAGAGCACTGTGCCGTCGGATGCTGAATGCCTATAGCTTGCAAAATACATGTATGTGTATACACATAAGCAAACACGATAAGCAAAACTGTAGCTGCAGCAGGGCTAGTTCATACGACTGAGATTGGATACATCTATATCAACTGAGTCTCTACAATGAAGTCTCCAAACACATCCTAAGACTCAAATAAGTGAAGAACTCTAAGCTGAATAATAAATACAATTTAATATCATTAGATTATTTGAGTAATTAAATAGACATTAAAAAATATTTAGAATATTTCTTCTCTGCTGGAAGCCTTTTCTCTCCAAGTGTTTGGTTCTTTTCCACAAACATATTTGCCCTCAGTGAGGTATACCAGCAGTTATACCAAATGTCCTACCACTTTTTAGAGCTATTTTGTTTAAGTAAGCAGATACTTCAGTATGAAGACAAAAAGTGGAATGATGGATTTTTAAGGAAAATCAGTTTCATAGACAACATCTGAAGACTGTCTGAAATAAAGTTCTTTCTCAGTTGGTGTTTCATTTGTATGTGTCTGTTTTGTATTTGGCCACAACTGATACCGCTATTGGAGACACTGGTGAGTCCTTTATTGCCAGTGCTACAGCATCCATAGAAATGGAAGGCTAGTGATTAATAAAAAGTTGCAAGGAGCTGTGCTTTCTCTGTTTTTGAGATACAGCTTGGTCCAGAAATCGAGACAGCCAATTACTTGCCCTCACCAGCTCTTCTAACAAGTCTCAGAATGATCCCTGAGTAAGAAATTTGTATTTGTGTATCATTGTACTTGTCAGTTGTTGTATTTAGCCTTCTGTTTCTTGAAAAAGTATGTCAAGAGACCTTATACATACTGGGCTACAAAACCAGTGCAAAATAGTTGTTCTGAAAGGAAAGATTCTTCCCACCTAACTTTGATGTCTGCTTTATTGATTTTCAGCCCATTTTTAAGTTGTTGTGCACTGGCGGCAGTTTGCACCTCGGATTCGTGGGTGCCAATATGTGCAATATACGGTGCTCTAATTAAAGAGGAGTGTTCTCTGAAAATACAGAAAGCTCTGGCAATTTAAAAAACAATGATGTGATTCTGTTTGCATTTTCCACAATCAGCAGCAAACTGCCAAATTACCTCAATAAAAACCGAGGCAGAGGTTGCAGTTCTAGACATCGAAAAGCAGAATGACTGATTCACTAATACCTCACAGCTTGTGGCATTATTCTGAGCAAAGCAAAGTGAAAGCAACCACACTTTGTTACGTTACATCAAATAAAAAGGATATTATAAGGCACAAGACAAAGCCACTAAGACACCTCACATCCTACAATAAAAAGGAAGACGTTCCTGTAGCTTGAAGCACTGAGAGACAAAGGCCATAGTTTCCGGAAATTGTTAAGAGTTTTCTTTCTACTTTTGCAGATTTATTTAGAAATTATGTTTTATTATATTTATCTAGATTGCTAATATTCAGGGGAAGAAAGAAATTGAGGCATTTTCCATAAATCTCTTTCTTCCTGTAGCTCGCAATAACTGTATTTTATGACCTTAGTTCTAAGCTCTGTGAAGGAAAAGTTCAGTATGATGCTGAAAAAGCACTAGATCCCAATACAGAAATTTGAGATAACTACCTGAGTATGACAAAACCTAGCCCCTAACGACTGAATGTCAAAGGAAGATGAAAGAACTGGGAACTCCCTTATGTTACAGACTTACTTCTCCAAAGG